GACTAATTGACTAAAATAGAAGCAGCGTTGGAACGCCCTTAAATAAAAAACCGTGGAATGCTATGGCCTATTATACTTAATCATTGTGATGATGAGAAATTTAATCTAGTTTTAAAATAATCTGATAGCGACTAAACATTATTACTAATAATACGAAAAAAATAAGATACTTCTTTTGAAATTATGCTGCCAACGAAAAACATAATCCAATAGAAACTATATTATATGAAGCTTTAATTTTAACCTAGTAATCAAGTTTTTCTTTAAAGATCACTAATCAATAGGTTTCAGGACAGACCTTCCTGAACTATCAGTCAAGAACATAGTAAGTCGGTCTAAAATAATAATATTCAAAATAAAATTAGAACCACTAACAAAATTCTTATTTATTTTTTTTATTTATTTGAGGCAAACCATATTCAAAGAATTGAATAAGCTGAGCTTCTTATTCTTTGACATGCTTGTTCTTCAAGCTGATCAAAAGGACTATTTAATTCCAAATAATTCAACCGCTCGCAAAACCCTTTAATATCCCCATGTGCCTTAGCCGATGGTGACATCATTTGTGGATGGATGATACATAAGAAATTCGTCTACAGGGCTACGATTACAAATAGGATGATTAAAAATCGAGTTTTAAAAAATAAAATAATAATAATAAAAATACGTGATTCACTTTTTAGTAATCTTGTACAGGTTCTTAGAGGAGGACATTATATTTGATATATCTCACAAAGTTCTCCAAGAAATTTGGCAGTTTTTCAGATGCTGGTGGAACATCTTCCAATTTTTAACATATATTGGGATTGTATAAGAATATGATATTTATTTACACATTTTAATGAAATAATTTTTCTTTCAGATATTTAGTATTGGAAAAGTATTAATCATCTTATTCTTGATGTTTTGAAAATTCAATCATCTTAATTCTCTTAAATGATGGAAAATCTATATAAACAAGTTTACAATCTCGTGTGAAATTCTTGACAGGATTTTTTCAGTAATTACGTATGGTATATAAAATTAGACCGTAGTAAATGTGTAAAATCAATAGATTCCTTACGAATTTCTACCGATGATCCAATCTCACCTACTACAAGCATCCGGTTTAACTTCGACCAAAATCAAGTTTTCGACCGGAATTAAGATTTAGGATCACAAAAATTTAGCTAGTTCTGGGCCCAACTTATGGTGTCTGTTTTTATAGTGGTCTAATAAATAATACAATTAAAAAAAAAAAAAAATTGAATTTGAATTTTCATTAAGCGAATCCATACATTTTGATTATCACGGTAGGAATCGGACTAGTTTATAATACATGTGTAATGTTATTTAATGTTATTTCATTTAAGAATAACTCTTATCATTTGTAACTGGGTAATATAAATTATATTAAATTGATTTAATTAATTTTTGTTGCGCAAATAAACAATTGGTAGGTCATAAAATAAAAGTAACAATTTATGGAAATTATGGATAAAATTGTGCTTTTTTTAATTGAATTCGTTGATTTTATAATTTATATTTTTCCAATATTTGGACAATTCACTATCGGGGCCACAATTACTTTGATACAAATGAAACAAAAGGTTATAAAAGTTTTTCCAAAGTATATTAAATTCACACACGAGGTTATAGAAAGATCTTAATCTTATTTGCTCCATATAAATCAACCCATTTTATTTCAACCGAAATATCTTCGATTTATTTTATTTTATTTGATTTCTATCACCTGTTGGCTTATTTTGATATAAATCTCCAAATTTATGTGCACAGCCACAGGAGACCCATAACAAGAACACAAATGATATGCATCTTTTGGTTGATTTTCGGATTTAATTTATTTTATGGCATTCCTCCCATCTTTCACTTACAAACGTTCTGTAACAAGAAAACAAGATTATTAAATTTGGGTTGTGAAAATCTAATCATTAATGTTAACACATGAAGCTCTCCAAGAATCTCGAAAATCATTCTATTCTTTCGGCCGACGATTTGTTTACCTCAAGCTAAAGCCACACACCTATGATAATATTGTGATAACGTACACAGAATCGACAGATTAACGGGATGATTTAAAGCGATATCCATTAAATGTTTTTGTATTTACGTGCAGAAAAGACACAAATTACAATGTCGGTTCAGGTTGAACATTATATAAATAAAAATGTCAATTGGAAATGATGATTTGTATTTAATTAGCATTATCTCTGTATTAGGATTATCATTGAAGCAGATTATGTATTAGCTTGTGAACTATGATTATGATTTATTTTTTTTCTAATTTTAAAATTATATATTATATACAAATTCCATATGCTATTCGTTACCCGAGACTCTAAACGAGAATTTAATTTTCATGTTTGATGATTTTCTATAAACTATTCTAATTATTAATTAGCTACGCAAATTACATTAAGATGAAAAATGCTAAATAATAAATAATAATATAATAAATAAATAATAAATAATAAAGAAAGGCTAAATTATTCTCGATAAATGACCAATAGTAATTTCGTTATTTAAATTTCAGAGGTCTCGAACTTTTTGCTTCTTTTATGATATTTTGGAAATTGATTGTTGTAACGTTTTCCGTTTGCTAGTTTTCTCTTGCGCAGAGCTCGAGGAGCTGGTTGATTGTCTCGTGCAGCTATGGCAGAACTTCCGGTAAATGGAATAGGTGCATTTCTGGCCACCATACTAGAAAACGGGTAAAATTTTTTTTAAATATAAAACTCCAAGAAGAAACGTCAAATCGAAAAAAAGATTCTTCATTTGCTTACCGTAATACATTATCACGAGAACTTAAGTTTTTACGCTTTCTTGCAGCAGAAGCGGACTCAACTGGAGAATTAGTGAGTAGAATAACGATTACCAAAAGTACAATCCAAGAAATTCGCAATACTACCATTTTATTTAAAATTATTTTTTAAAAAAAAAAATCTTTTAAAGAGATTGTAAAGGATGAGAAAGAGGATTAATGAAAGAAGGGAAAGAGGTGGAGAAAAGAAAGAAAGAAAGGTAGCTTCCGCTCTGCAAAATATTATGTGATGTTATTAATGATTAAGAACTCAGAAATACTAGTAAAAAAAATCGAGACGTTCTTTATATCTATTTTTTAGATTTCAATGCTATACCACATTTGTAATACTAAATAAATCATAAATGTTACACAACATAAATTCTGTAATCTTTGCCTGCATTTTCCTGACAATATTCTTTGTCTATCAAAGGAGCTTCGACGACGTATTGTCCGTTATTGTGAAAAATGGAGGTTATTGTTTCACCGAACTTTGATAACAGCCAGAATTTTAGCATGTTTTGACAAATCCTCTTAAGCTTGTATTCCATATTTCGGAAAGTATGCCGAAAAAATTTATAAATGATGCGCAAATGGACACAGTACGTATCTTTTATGCATTTAAAATGAGTGGGTCATTCCGGAGACCAACCTAAACAAAAACGTTGAAATTTTGACAAATTAGCATTCCATACGGGTATAATAAATTAAACTTATAATTTAATGTAATTAATTAAATATATGCTTTTGTGGCTTATATATATATTAGCGTTATCAATCATCAAGTCGATTTAATTAGTCAAACATAATGCATGGATGCATTCTATTCTGTTCAAATTTTGATGTAACATTTGCGAAATAAAAAAGATTCCGGGCAGGTTAATATTATGAAACCCTCATACGCGTCATGTACGCGCGAAAAAGTAAACTTTTATAATTTGATCAGTTAACCTATATCTATCTTTAAATGTCAATTATTTTTATTTTTATTTTTTTGAAACTAGTTTCATGTGTAAATAGAATAAATATAAATAAATAAGGAAATTCCATCCTTTTTTTAAAAAAAATTTTTTTCTCTTCATTATTATTAGAACAAAGGAGTCTTTGTTTTATTGTCAATGTTTATTCTACGCTTATGAATTACCATTCTGTTTCGAGGGAATTTAACAATTCAAGAATATTGGTGAAAAGGAACCACGTGATTTACCAATTTCATTTTCGAATATAGACAAATAGGATTGATTGTATGCGGGAAATTATGATGTGAGTTTGAAATCATCATACATTCATTTTTTAATTTAAAGAAAAATTTTCGGGATTTAATGTGAATTGTTTTTATTGATTTATTGTGTGAAAAACACGTATATTTTTTTAAGGGCAATTGATGGAGCCTTGGGTTCTTACGATTAATCGTGCATCGGTTTAGGAAAAGTTTTATGAACACGATGTTATAATCTTACCGAAATTAACATAATTTTTGGTAGTTAAAACTTGATTTTATAAGAAACCTTTTTACTCGATTTACTTTCATTGTAGTGATGAATACCCGATTCCTTATAATGCCATCAGCAAATCTTTCGATATGTCGGCTACATAATCTTTATTAGATGAATATAACTCAAAAAATTTTAAATTATTCAGTATAGTATCCTTTGTCTTCCCAATTGTGTTCAATTATTATTTGCTTTTTTTTTTTTAAACGTGCAATTATTAAAATTATTCTTCTTTAATTGGTACTCAAACATTTACACTGCCGATATGCAAGAGGATTTTTCTACTGGAAAACTAGTCATCATTATTTTTATTTAATATAAGAAAGTTCATTTATATCATATAACCAGCAAATAAGAGTAATGTTTAAAGTTGCACTTAATTTCATTTAACATTGAAGAAAACATTTATAATACATGGAAATATTTGTGTGATATGCATGTGTGTTGAATATACGGCTTAACCCGGAATATTTTTTATATGAATAAAATGGTTAGAGCAATTATAAATCACGTGAATTTGCAAATAACGGTTATCGAATTGATTTTTTTTTTTTAAATATATACAAAATCTTATCGTTTGCGAAACTTGAATAAAATTAAATCAATATTATATAAACCTTTATAATTCAATTTATTTTATTAAACTATTCTTTATTGTTTTATAATTAGTCACGAGTCACATTTGGCATAGTATCGAAAAAAACATCATGAGGATAGGATATAATCGATCAAATACAGAATCTTCCGGTAAATTATCAACTCTACCTGCCAAATATTCTGGAGCAGAGAAATCACGAACATTGTAGATATCGTACAAAAATCAAAACGAAGGCTTATCTATAAAATCTCTTGCGGCGTTTAAGAGGTAAAACATGGAGAGGTTGTCTTAATATTTTGGCCCAAATTCCGCAAATCACTAATTTTTGCCTTGGAAGTTCACAATAGGTTCGAAATTCTGGCTATCCAATTTATGTGGGATTATAGTTGTAAATATTAGTGTAGGCATTAATTAGTGAAGGCATAGAATTAGTATGCGCCCAAAAGATAATTAGTGGTTTTGGACTTATGCATTCCTCCCATGCAAGCTTACGAATTTTGTTTATTTTTTTTTATTACATAAAAAATTAATAAAAATCGACCTAAATTTGGCTTTATTTTTTAATTCTGGTATGCTATTATTTTTTCAGGTCCGGAAAACATATGTTTACATAATCATGAATCAAACATTTTCATTGTTGTTGCGTAGCAAATTTAATGTAGTTCATCACACGATCAATTGTGATTCGTAGCGAATGACAAGGTTGAGAATATTATTTCATAAGCAAATAAATTTTCCAAATTCGAATATTCATAATATTATTGAAAACATTATCCTCAGCAACGATACTCCCTCTAATATGACCTCACCACCTCAAGAAGTTTTCGCTAACTTTGTTCCACCTACTGAAATAGAAGTTGATATATCTTCAGATACCATTATTAATCCTATTCCTACACCACCACTGAAATTCCTTAACAACGATTCCATGTACGCAAACTTCGATAAGAATAATATATTTGATGATACTGGTTTTGATTACGTTCTACTCCCAACTAACAAAGGCAAACAATGACAATCATGGTCTGATGAAGTTGAAAAAACAGAAATATCACGTAACCAAGAACACAAAGAAGTCACTTTCAATATTATCACTGCTTCCACGTATTTTTATATGACTGATAATGCATCTGACATTAAAGGAAAATCTGTGGCTGAAAAGCGCACTTTTATTAACTCCTTGTTCATCCATTTCAATGGGTACCAAGGCTCAACATACATTTTCAAACTTAGAAAATTCTTTGTTTATTTTGAATTGATGGACTTCTTAAAACATGCTCTCATAAAGATGCAGGAAATACAGCATAATCCTATTTTTACTATCTTTGATCCTGCTGTGAAATAACAATGACAAGATGCCAAAAAAGGCAGGATGATCAAAGTCTCTGATATTCCGCTATTTACCAAATCAGATGTAGTATGAAATTATTTTACCAAATACAGAAAGATCTCTCATTTCTTCATAATTATCAGAGGACTCTGGCAAATCACCTTTATCGTATTTGAAGATCCCAGATCTATCAAACAATTTTATGATCAAGTGTGGTCTGTTTCCTTTTTGAAAAACTTTTTGAGAGTTGAACCAACCGATCTCGATCTTTCGCAAATTGCTCTTAGACAACAATTCAAACTGAAACTTACAGGGTTACCTTATAATACTGATAAAAGGCAATTAATCAATTTTCTCGTTCATATTAAAGCAAAATCTTGTTTTATCCCATGTAACCAGCAATACTGACTTTGACCGTATGCTTTTGTAAATTTCTCCAACAATGATGATCTTATCTCTGCTGCTAATCAATCCCAAAAATTTAAAGGCAAGGTCCTATATTGAATGAAACCATCAAAAAAACACTGCAGAATTTGTGGTGTCTCTGACCATGAACTGAAAGATTGTACCAATTGTAAACCAGCCAATCCTTACAAACCTCTGTATGATCATTTCAAGCCAGAGTAGTACAGACCACCAAGATCTTTTCATTTTACCAACCTAGGTCCTTATAGGTCTTTTTCACATGTCTTACAGAATGAAAAAAATGGCTTCCATGATGATAGTCTCTCCAAAGCTAATAAGAATAACAATAATGGTCTGCCCAAAAAATTACCTTCAAATACTACCGAAGCTTTTAAATTCATTCAAGAGAAATTGGATAGTATCGAAAACAAACTTACTCTCATCAATGATAAAATAGTTTCTTTAAAAAATTCTATCACTAAATATGAGCAAAACTAGAAGGATATTAACTTCTGTTTAAATCGACTTGAATGGCTGCACTATATCGAACATGATCCAAAACAAATAGATGATCCAGAATATGAATTTCCTCTTCACAACGGTGAAGAAGAAATGGAAATAACTCCTGTTACTCCTTTTATTCAAGCTGAAGTTATTGAAGTTTCATCTTCCTCAAACTCTTCGATCAACGTTTCTCACCCTCAAACGACCTATTTACAATGAATTGACTCAGTTAAATCTTCAGTAAATGACATCAAATCCAAAATTTATTCAATTTCGTCCGTTTTACGCGTTCTCACCCAAACTCTTTCTCCTAATGATCAATGAGTATACACCAAAGCAGCATCCCAAATGGTGTTCCAAAAGCCTATTTAAACATTAATGAAAAAATTTTAACTAACAACAGTTTTTATTCTCATTTTAATGATCCAAATTTTTTTCAATTGCTACCCACAACGTCAGAAGTTGCGTTTCTGATGAGAAGATGATCCAAATTGAACAATTTTTTATTTCTTATAATTTAGATATATTAGGTTTAAGCGAAACCTATCTTAGTATCACACAAGCCCTCTACAGGTCAAATATTTTCATAATAATCAATATAAATTTATTTTTTCATTTGACAATACTCAATCCAATTATCAAGGTATTGGTTTTATCATCAGATCCTATCTTCATGACCACATATTTTTCAAAAAATTCTTATTCGATAGAATTGCTTATATTGATTTACAATTCAAAAACAAAACCAAATTAAGGATTATCCAAATTTATCTTTTCACCAATACTAATGATCAAGACCAATTAGCTCTTAGAACAAAGATCGAAAATTTAGTTATTAATATCATTTTTGAAGCGCAAGCCAAATCTATTCATATAATTTTGATGGGTGACTTTAATATCGATTTCTACAAGATTCAGAACAAACATAACAACTCAAAAAGAAATTGAATGTGTAGATCCTTCATTAACAAAATAACTAATCTAAATTTTGTACACACTACTACGTTAATATCAGACAATTCCAAATAACTTCCCTATACATTCACCTCTTCAAGAAAAACCCACACTCATATTGATTACATTTTTACCTCTCCCTCTCTTTCTCGTGATCTCACCTCTTTCAAAATCTTTGATTTTTCTTGCACAATCTACGAATCCAACCATCTTCCTCTTCACATAACTCTCTACAAAAATAATATGGGGTGAGTGCTGAGAAAAAGGACCAAATCGACAAAAAAATTTTTTTTTGAAATAACAAATGATCTGAATCAGATGACCAAATCTACATCTATTTTACTTTGGAACTATTTTTTAAAAAAAAAATCAATTTGGTCCATTTTCCCAGCACTCATCCCATATGTGTGATATAACATTTATTTATGTTTATTTATATGTAATTATTTAAATGATTTAGCATATATTTTAATTCAACATCTTTTAATACATGTATATATAATCATAATTCAGATTTATTTATAAATAAACTAATATAACAATATAACTTTGAAATTAATAGATAATAAAGATGACTCATCAAACAAAAAAATTATTTGGGAAATATATGATATAAAAAACAGAATAGATATTCTCATTGATAATTTAATCTTATTTTTAATTAAAAGATAAGATAAGGAAAATGGTTACAATAAAATAAAGGAATTTATTAATCAATATATATTACTTTCAAATTGAATTCAAGTCATATTTTTAAAGGTTTAAAGAAAATTAAATGGAATCAAACATATTTTTTTCTTGAGATTTTCTATAATAACTTTGTGAATAATAATAATGAAGCATTTAAACTACTTTTAAAAATAATTATTTTATTACATAAGTTTATTTTACAAAATATTATGGGGATAGAGATGAAATTAAAATAAATTATGATGTAATATTTAATTGAATACAAAAAACCATAGAAAATAAAAGTATCTTTAGACAGTTAATTCTTGATATCTATTATAAAATTAGTATAGGTATCAGTAGAGATTTAGTTAAAGCTTTTTATTAGTATAAAGGTAGTAAATAATGAAAAATTAAGCAGATTATAAAACTTAGGTAAATGATATGAATTGGGTAAATGAATAAAAATATGATTATCAAAAAAGAATATAAAAGCAAAAAATATAGACTTGAAATTTATTATTATTCAAGAATTAAAACTGAAATTAATAATAAAAAAACATTTAAAATATTTAAAGATTTTATTGAAAATAATCATAACATCACATAATATAAATTAGTAATATTTGACAAAATTATCTTTCTTAATATAATGAAATTAACTAAACTGAAAATGATGAAACTAGTTTTTTAATTAATGATAAATCTATTTTACTTGATTGCCAAAAATTATATTTGACTTAATTTGAATTTCTTGAATTAAAATTAAAGATGATGCAGCAATTTATTTCAAATTTACAACTTATTATAATATAAGCTAAAATTAGTTGTAATATATGTTACAACTAAGGTTGCTTGTCTAAACTCACTTTGAATTTAACAAACAGTTAAACCTTTAGTTTTGCTAAATTTTTACTAAGTATTTGATATAGTTTCGCTATTTTATAAGCTTTGATATAGTTTTACCTTTTTCAAATTTCGCAGATTTTTAATAAGGTTTTAATATAATTTAACCAAGTTTTACTTTTACCATTTAGACGTCTGTCTAA